AAATAAGCATATACAAAGCTTCCTTATGTAAACCTCTAATTTTTACATAAGATCATACTATAAAACTAATTTTTTAATTTTTTACTTAATATAATTTAGACATGCTTGCATACCAGTACACATAGATGTACCCCTTTTTTAACCTAATTTATTTAATCTGTTCCTTACTGAAAAACGTTTTATCTTGCTATTACAAATGTTCTAAGTACATCTTTATACAAATACTGCTGCACACTTAGGTGAGATATCTGTCAAGGTAAGATATCTGTAAAGTATATTTCTAGAGATTAAATTTCTTTGTCAAAGGGAACTGCATTTTAAATTTTGTTAGAGCCAAGCTAAGTTTCAAAATGTAATTCCAATATACTATCCCACTATCAATGGTTATTTTTGATATATTGTTGTTATTTATATGTTATGTATAAATTTTATTTGCCAAATGCGGTTTCATTTTCCTGAAATATTTATCCATTTTTAAATATATTAACCTGAAGAGGGCATCACAATGTAAGCTGTAGGAAGTAATTCTAACCAGTGTGGACTTTTCCATTCTACAGCAATACTATAATGAGTCTGCAAAGATTGTAAGATGGTATATAAACTTTTCTCTACCTTTAGGCAAATTATACCTAACTCTCCCTCCACCCTCACATTCTTATTTAATTACAACTTCAACTTTAATTACAACTGAAATTTTATCGGGCAACTTGTTCATTGCATTTCCTTATATATTCATTAATAAGAAAGTGAAAATAATGTTCACACAATTCTAAACAGTTGGTACATTTACAAACAAAGAAATTAGCAGGCAAATGTCAGGAAAAAGGACACCTATTTGAGGTTACGAGCTTCAATTCTAGCTTTAAAAATTAATGTGCTAATAAGAAGATATCATTCCCTTGATAATACTGTCACTAGAAGAGGTTAGTATAGGACACTGGGGATAAAGACTATGAAATCTGCATAGTCAATTCTTAATTATGTATGCCAAAATAAAGGGAAATCATTGTAATTAATTCTGATCTGTGTGTAACTTAATTTTTATAGAGTCAAATTGTAAATATTCCTGTGGCTATTTACAGAGTTTGGTTACTCTTAAAATTTGATCTTTCTCTGAAGTTATATTCATGAACTTTTACAAAATTTAACATAATTTAAAAAAAAATTCTAGCCTCTTAAATATCCCAATTTAATAATTTTTCAGCTTACCAATAACTCTGTTTTTTAAAATAGCTACCTAAAATAAGTTTTTATCGATGACTGATGGTAACTACACTTATGGTGATCACATTGCAAGGTATATATATGTCAATTCACCATATTGTACACACCTGAAACTAATAATGTTGTATACCAACCATATTTTAAAATATTTTTGAGAATAAAAAACAAAATAATTTCCAGTGGTGATAACTTTCTAAAATAACTGAAAGGCTCCTAAAGTTAAAAATCTAATCTGTGAAGTTATTGATGTGAAATAACAAAACTTACAAGCTGCATAAGAAAATTCAAAATTCTTGATCAAAACCAAAATCTGAGAAACCTTATACTCCTTTCACACTATACTCATCAGAAGTTACTGTAAAAATTTCAGAACTGTAACTGAATATATATTGCATTTTTCAACAAAGTTTGAAATCAATTAATGGCAAAGCTATGATTACATAATGTATTATTTGATGGTTCTATTTAAGAATGTTTACATAGTATGAGATTTTTTTCTATATTAAAGGAAGTTTTAATATTAAACTTTGTAATTAATAATGGGTCATTCCCTTTTATATAAGCTTTCTTTCATATAAGGTCTGTCATAGCCTCATAACTCAGTGTTATCCAACCCACAAACTTGTGAACACAATAGAAAATACCAAAATTTCTACCTATCACATGCCCATTTATATGGCCTTTGTATGCATTTCTATATACATCATGATCTGTGATATAAAGCAGAGATGAATTTCAACAAGCCATGTAAGAAATTATCTTATATTTCCTTCCTTCTCTCCTGATACTTTTCTTCATGTCCACTAATATTCAAACCTTGGCATTCTATTCCAATCTCATGATTTGAATCTTTTTTAATGTAAAATATTCCCAAATCTCTGTCTTGACCTCTCCCCAAAGTCCAATCCTGTATTTCTAACTGGACACATCCCACAAGCTCCTCAAACACATAATGTCTCAAAGCAGATTATCTTTCTTTCCAAACCTATTCTTCCTCCAGTGCTTATTTTCGGGTACTTCAAACTTTGTAGTCATCTACCTTGAAGGTTGGGCTCTCCTTTTTTCTTTGGTCTCCTCACCACCACACCCCACTCCCATCCCAATCCAGTCCTTAATCAAATTTTATCAATTTTCCTGCCTTGACCTGGAAGTTCAGCTTCCTAATTCCCTGGGGCCATTTCACCTCCTCTTTAACTCATCCTATCTTGTGCTGCAGTTCTGTATGGTTATTTTCAGAGCCCTCTACTCAATGGTTTATGAGCAACTGAGCCAAGTGAAGATTTTACAGGTATTTTGTTTTTCACTTTTTTGCAAGAGGAGTAACGGGTATGAATTGAAAATGAACAGTACCATTACACAAAAACATGTATGCCATTATAATGTCTAGATAAACATTTTTTTTCTGGCTGAAGAAGCAGCTCTAGACTTTTGGTAGTTTCATTTTATGTGAATCAGCAGGGTAACAAAAAAATATAGATCTTAGAGACATACAGATGTGCTCAATTCCAGATCTTATCATTTACTTTTGTGAAGCTCAGATTCCTTATATTTTAATATGAGAATAACATGAGCTACCTCATAAGGTTAAGATTAAATAAGGTATATACATGATTCTATATATGCTCTAAATATTTGTTGAATGAATGAATGAATCCTTATCTGGAATACCTCCTCTCCCATATCTTCATCCAGTTAACTTTTACTTGCCTTTTAAAACTCAATTGCAACCATCTGAATTTCCTAATAATTTGTGTCCCACTTCTGTGTTTCTATAGTTCCAGTGCATAGCTGTTTATCACACACTCTGTAATTACTGGTGTCCTTTTTGGTCTCCCATGCGATATTTTGGTAAATTCCTTGAGGACAGGGACCATGTTTTGACTTCATATCTGCAGCAATTAGTGTAGAGCCTGGCAAATAGCATCCATTATTTCAATAAATGTTGAATGAATACTCTATACAAGTAAGCAAAGGCCTTGTACCATAAATTTTACTAATTTTATTCTAAGATAGTGCAAAGTACAAACATACTGGAAAAAAATTAACCAACAAATATTCACAGCAGGTATTTCAACACAAAAATGTTCATGCCGCTTGGGTCATGTGTAATTCAAAGTGATGAAACGGGCATTATAAATACAGCCTCTCTACATTAATAGTTCATCCTTATTAAGCACAAGTTGTGCCAGTTATTTCTATTTAGTTATTTGGTTTAATTCAATCTACAAAATTCCCTCTGGGATAAGTTATTTGCCCTATTTTACAAGGTATGGAAACTGAGCGCCAGAGAGATTAGGCAACTGAAGAGAAGGATCACACAAGTAGTGAGCGGTGGGATCAGGGTTCCAACTCAGGGTTCCAACCCAGGCTTCCTGACTCCAGAACCTCTACTCTTAAGCTACACTTCACTGGCTTCCTAGAAGTAGCTGATTTTTCAAAGATCCTCCTACCCACATTATATGCGGATACGTCTTCCCCAAAAGAGCGGGAGGGAGACATTACAGATGGACCAAGAGCACATTTCCCCTTCACGCAGAACTACGGAAGGTTCTATCTGTAAATCGTGTTCTTGAACACAAGTATATGTACATCCCTGATGCTGCACAGAGTTTTCTTCCACACGCTTAAAATAAAATACACTTTTCCTCTAGATAAACTTATTATCTTGTTTTTTATAAGCCTTGGATTTCTTTTAATATTATGGCTTGAAAACCTAAATGCTTAAGAACTAAGCCATCATTCCCAGTAAAGCCATAAAGAAACAAAAAAGGCCGCATGTATGATTTTGCAATGAGATCCAAAGGACACAGTCCTTAATCCATTCACAAGTCCCAAGTATACATAACTGCTAGGATATCAATCAGAAGGGGTAAACCTTGATAGCAACAAAATGGCTTCAAAATTCCCTTACATGAGCCTCTAAATCATTTGGGATCAATTTAAAGTTCTCAAGGGCTGCCTTGCGGACTTCCAACCAGCCACCTGGAAGGTGTCCAAAACATGCAGAAGAAATGAAAACTTCATGGAAAATGGAGGCCGTAAACACAGGGCATACGGATAACTTCTAAACTACCGAATTGAGGACTTCTTAGTGACTTGTATCGATTCCCGGATCTGAAACTAACGCTAAGTACTAACAATCCACAACTTTTTTTTCCCTATTGGAACGCAGTAGCTTTACCTTATTTTAATAAACAGATCCTTTAGTAACACATTTCAACGACAGGCATTTTGGTTCCCTGTATTTAAATGTCACAAATCAGTCACGAGAAAAAAAATGCAACAATGGGGCTAGAGTGTGCATGTATATGCAGTTCTAAATCTTCCAAGCCGAAAAGGACGTATGAAGTATCACTTAAAAACATTTATTTCCGTCCGTGTGTTGGGTGGTGGCGGCCAAAGTGCGGATGTGGTTAATATAGGTCACAGGACCCAAAGTGGTTGGAATCGCACTACACTCCACAGTCTGCGGTCAGACCACGGCAGACCGAACGCTCGCAAAATGGCGGCCGCGCCTCCAAACGCGCGAGAGCTCTACCCGGCGGTGGACCATCCCGTCACCAGGGTAACGACGC